GACAGTTGTGTGTAAGACACTTATGAGAACGGGCGGTAATGTGCATGCACGTCGATAAATTTTCCTTGAAAGTATTTAAACGACTGACAATAATAGAACATATCCGTTTACAGTCATTTATGATTCACTATCATATAGATCACATTTAAAGTACGAACACATGTCAATTTTATTTTCTGAAACGGAAAAGGGCAAGCCAGTTCTGATTGACAACACCATCGAAGGACGGCACCGACGACTGAACAATATCGTAGATTCAGCCCATCCTGGATTTTGGCGTTTTTTGAGTGACCTTCAAACAGAGCAATCATACGTAGATGGTGAAATTTCTCAACTAGTAACAGGTCTCGTACCAAAATCAAAGCGAATCCAAACTCAACACACAGCGTTCAGAATTTTACGGATTTTAGAAAATTCTACAGATGATAATATACAAAAAATAAAAGCGATCGCTCATACATGCATGTTATAATTCTTCATTGATTTATTTATTTGATTAATCTTTGTTATTTTGTTTACTTTTTTTCCTTCATTGTCTTTCGCCTTGTTTTGACAAAAATATTTATTTGCGCATACACACACTCGTTGTGCACACAATTATCTGCACACAAACATCTAACACACAATTGTCTGTTCACACAATTTCCTTGCACACAATTGTCCATACACACAATTGTCTGCACATAATTGTCTTACACACAATTGTCTCACACACAACAGTCGTGCTTCCGCATCAGAGCTGGGCAAGTATGGACTTTCTCGAGTACCAGTATAGCGAAAATCGCGCTCGAGAACGAGAATTTTGAATACGATTACTTCTGAACATTTGTTCAAGGCCGTTAGAGCATATGTGTCAAATATAACAAGATTGCACTTTTGCGTAAGAACGAGGTCGCAAGAAATTAGTTGTTTGCTTGATCTTCAAAGAAAATACATAAGTGCTTGATACCACTTTAGAATAATACATTTTATCTAAAAGGACGAAAGCGGATAAGGACGTTTTTCTGCCCTTGACATATTTCATTTGCTGTTGTGTTGAAATTCATCGCGTGATGACATTTGATAACATTGCAAAGGTTTATTTCACAACATTTCTCTATTGTTTTTTCAATTTACACCGGTATTCCTCTACAAGGTCAACAAAAACTTGGTCATTCTTCTAGGGAGCACAAGTATAACTGGAAAAAGTGACCAAGAGACATTGTGAAATAAGCCGTTTCAATGTTATCAAGAAGCGGCACTGAATTAATTTCAAGACAAAAAAGTCTGGCATATTTCGGGAGCAGAAAAACAGTCTTATCTGCCCTTATCTTTTAGAGTCCTTGATATTCGAGTACGATTCCTTCGAATATTTCGCTCAGCTCTGCATTTTGTCGTGTGCTATCGAAGCTTTTATTTGACTTCTCTTCTGAGGTCCTGCGAAATCTCTTCAAGGATCGGAAAGGATCTTGGTGAAATCTGTTTGATAATTGATCGAAATTATAGTTGCTATTCAGCTATAAGTTCTAGGAAGAGTTTTTCTAAACTATCCTGAATTGTTTTCTCTTCTCAATATACTACAAAATCGATTCTGATCATCGTTAAATTCTCTCGACGGATTGTTAAAACTTATGAACTTTTCGGAGATAAACAGATTGAATAGAAGTTGTGAGCATCTTCAATTCTTTCTCCAGTCGAATCTCATGACAAACCTACTATGATCCTCCTGAATTACTTTTCATTTTAATATTGTAGGGTACTATTTCATGTTTCTGACAAATTCTTGTTTTAAATGTTGGCTAAATCTTTTCATTCGCTTCTCATAGGGTTTTCAACGAGTCCTGGACTATTTGAGACTAAGAGTGATAGTAGACGGATGGACGAATGAAGAGATGAGCTTCATCCTCACCTGCTCATCTACCGATCCATACAATTTGTTTACAGATGGATCCACAAGAAACAATAGGTAGATTCTTCTTCGGTATACTTTCAGTCTTAAACTGACAAATATCGCGTAGAATCTCTCATAAAAGAATAAATTGAACCTACAATAAAAGCAAAGTTGAAGTTAATCAAAAAATTAATTGGATACTTACAACTTTTCTAGTTTCAAAGAGCTTTTGAGTTAAAGAAGAGATATTGTATCAATTTTATTTATACCATTCGAAAGTTCGAAGTATATTCTATCTTCCATACAAAAAAAAACAAAGATATCTATTCAAACTTCATAGTTCTATTTTTGTTTTCCTAAAACAACTGGATTGCTGGGTAATAAAATTGTTATACATTTCAAAATAGTATAGGAGTGACTATGTCTCAGACAAATTTTGATAGAAACAAGGTGAGACCTATGATGTCCACCTTTCGGAAGAACCAATGAAGGCCAATCGAATCATACATTTCAGATTTTTCCGACACGTTTATTTTTAGAATTATATATCAAGCTTTTTCAAAATGCTTTCAGCATAATCCCAACGCAATTAAAATGTAAAACACATTGAAGTTGCTTTCATCGTTAATGTAGATCCTCGCTATGCTGATAACGGTTGATAGCAGGTCACAGGAGCAGCATTTGAAAAATGTCTATCACGGTCTGTGGAGAAAATTTGGCGGTGGTACACTTGTCTCACTATTAGAAGGAGAAAAATAAGAATACCTCTGTCTTTCGGCTTCATAGCAGTATGGGATGCTGCCTAGTAGCAGACTCAGTAGTCAGATATCTTCTCTACAACTAATACTAGCTGTACGTCTCGATAGAAAACCGGCCTCATGCGAAGTTTTGAGCTCCATACACACTGACTAACCACATATTAGTCCCGAGGGTAGGTGTAGGCCACAATGTAGTCAACACCCTAAAAGATTGGTAGTTCGAGACAAAGAGCCATTAATGACTGGTCTAAGGGCGTTGCATAACTGTTGGTATCAAAGTTTGAATACAGTGCCTGTTGGATACGTGTCAAACAACGTAGCCACTCCGCTTTGGCGACTATTATCTCACTATGAACTTCAACACTCATTACCAATCGAGTACTCATACGAGTTTCTCTCTACAGATTTACTCATAGGCAATGATGTGAGTACTTAATACGGTATTCATGTTCATTTTTTTTAGGCAGAATATTTAGCAAAATATTTATGTATTTCTGTATACAAAAAATATATTGTTATGTAATAGAGTAAAATGACATAATACGACCGACAATAGAAAGAAACTGTTTTAACGACTTATCTAGTTTGTTCTCTATTATTTACTGATGATTCGTTAATACGATTTTGTTGAATGGTGACATTAAGAAAAAAAAATGAAAGACGACTTTTCATTTTAAACTGTTAACTTGTCGGGTGAGATTGAATATTTTGTTTAAGCCCCCCCCCCCCCCCCCCCACTCAAAAAAGTCAATTTTCGTCAAAAATTTCGAAATTGAGATAAATGCATGGGAAGATAGCCCGTCTTCAGATATTCCAAAAACGACATTGGTTTTTCTTTGGCATCTCTTTTTTGGTCAAGATTTTCGATGATTTTCATTGACCTCTTCTTGAAAAATATGCTTATTTTTAAATAAACGAAAAATGTTTTTCGCTTTTGCTCGATTTATGATTTTTTGACTTTGGGACAAGGAATTCTCAGTCCCGGCTCGGGCAATATATTTAAATTTGTTTTTTTGTTTGAAAAAGCGCGTCGAGAATGCAGGTCATCACAGAGTCTTTTTTTTACTTAAGCTTTGTTTTTTATTATATATACAGACACTTATGTGACTGGACACCCATTTTTGGCGCGTTTTTTGAGTCATGGGACTTGTGATCTCCTTTCTCCGCCAAAAAAGTAAGAATCTTAAAAAAAGGACTCTGTGGTACCCTGCATCCTGACATGCTCTTTCTAACAAAAAAAAATTAAAATATGTTAACAGAGCCTGGACCGAGAAATCCTTGTACCAAAATGAGCAATTTTTGACCCTTGTTTGGTTCATATCTCTGTCAAACATCAGGGTATTGGGCTGAAAATTTTACCACAGCTTCCCCACATCAGTTCCAACATATGCTCCAAATTTCAGCTCATTTGAACGTACCTGAGCTGAGATCAATTTTCGAGTGGGGAGAGGCCTTAAATGTGTTAATAGAGATGTGTCCAAATTTATTTTTCTAAATTTAGAGAAAAAGTTCTGTATTAAAATATAGGTTCTCAGATGCACTATAAAATGCACTGAAACAAAATGAATTAACAACTCTTATTACAAGTCGATTGTTTTATAACAATCACCATATCTAGACAACACTATTAAGAAATAATTTCATTTTTTTACTTTTTTTAAAATAAATCACTAAAAAACTACAGATGGTTATGAATTTAAAAATCTCTATTGGAATTTTTTGTTCTGCAATAACCAACACTGCATGTTTATTTGAAATTAGATCTTTCTGTTTCATATAATCATTTTTTTTGTATTTTTATTTTTCTACGTTATACTGTGTGCACTCTGCATTTTAGCGTGCTCTCTTACTTTATGCGATAGTGACAAAGTGATCTTCATTGTTAATGAAAAAAGTTAGATATTTTTATCATTTTGGTATCATAAAAATAAGATTTTATTTATTTTTAAAAGACCGAAAAAAGAATAAAGTTTTAAAATACATGAAAATTTATTATCAAAAAAATACTCAACAGATATAGGATTGTAAGATAAAAATGATTGCTCACAATACAAAATTACTGACTATGCAGTTGTGCGATTCTTTGTCTAATCTATATTTTCCTAAAGATAAATTTTCTTCTTTTTTTTAATATTTTACTTTTTTCTTTGATCTTTTAAACAAACAAACCGAAAATCATACTTTTATTGTATAAAACTTTAGAAATATTTCACCTTCTTTTCTAATGACGAAGACTTCTCGAGCTCTATTATTTGTCTTAAGAAGCATCCAAATAAAGTGATAGCTTTAGTTCTCAAATTCATCATTTTCTGAAATTTTCATTATATATGTCTCTATTTTTTTTTTGTTATTTAATTTTATATCTAAATACAATGAATGTAATACGACAATACCGAACATAATATAGTATTATGGATACTTTACATAAGCTAATACAGTGCACTAAAACTATACAGGAACATTCGACAATTATTCAGTATTATATGTTGAATACTCAAAATTTATGCGTACTAATGAATACTCGCTTGATGAGTACTCTTCACTGAGAAATCAATACTTATTTCTGTAATGATCCTTTATACTAATATTTTGCAATGTTTTATGAGGAAAGAAGTTTCCCAAAAATTGTCATTATCAAACGAAGAATTTTAATCGATACTGTAGAAACTCTGATTCGTACATAATATTCGTCTGTTTTTACCCATTTTGTATTCTGATTTTTTTTCATAATTCAAAATAATCGATCGTAAATTTGATTGAAATTTCTAAACATAAATCGACATACATTATAAATAGTAACATATCCTAAACGAATCCTTCACACTTAATTCAAAATGAACATTGTAGATCAATCATGACATTATTTTAAACCTTATTTCCAAAATTAATTCGTTATCTCCTGAATCCGAAATCTATTTTTTGAAGCATTTGTATACTCATAGTCACTTGAAAAAATCAGAAACCCATGCGTGAAAGACAATTCCCTTTTTTTAGCTACACATTTTAGTAATACAATGTTCTTTGTCTTCTTGGTTCATAAACCAGCTAATAGAATTGTATTTTATTCTTCCTTCAGTTGTTCACCGTACAATAGTATCATCTGCATTTTTTCATACAGACACTCACCACACTACATCTCGCTTGGAATCAAATCGGAGACAACGGAGCACAACATCTGGCTGATGCATTAC